TCTGCAGGTGTTTCAGCAGATGTTTCCGTCTGCAGGTGTTTCAGCAGGTGTTTCCGTCTGCAGGTGTTTCAGCAGGTGTTATATCATCCTGTGATCCTCACCATGTAGCTGTTGAAGGCAGAGGAGTCTGCATCCACCATGTGCAGCAGCTCATTCATTGCCTGATGAAATGGAGGAATCAGCTTCCTCATCACGTTGTCCAGATTCTCAAACTGTCTCTTTCCGTATGTCATCTGTCCCACCATGGCGCCTAATGCTGCCCCCTACAGGAATAATAACATCACAGCATTTATAACATGAAGGTGACTCCCCCTGCTGGACGGCCTTTGGTGGCTCACCATGGATGCGATGGCAGCAGAAACCGATCCTCCTCCCGGAGCAGCAGTTCGAGCGCCGACGCTGTGAACAAACTGCTGCAGAGACAGAGATATAAGGCCGCCTTGTTCCTCTGACCTCACCATGTACCTGTAAGACACCTCCACATTTACCACAGCCCGTCATCTGATGTCTGCCTCTGAACCTGCAGGGGGAGTAAACTCACTCTATGATTCTCTCCTTTGGGCTGAACGGGCCGAGGGAATCTAGACCCAGTTTGCTGATTACCTGCAGATCGTTAAGGAGACGTTCAAATGCAGAACTAACCCTGCTAGCAAACCTCCTCAGACTTGCCTACTGACCAGGCGGACTTTGTGCTCCTCCTCAATGATGAAGAGCTGATCTCTTTTGATGTAGAAGTCAGCAGAGTCCAGCAGAGCTTTTAGGGGAATCAAACCGACGATCTGAGAGCCGACCACCGGCAGCTTCAGCTCCTGAACACCATAAACATCTGTAAAAGTGAAGCTGATGCCTCCGCAGGTTCATTGACATCCAGACCTTTACCTCAGCATCCCTGCAGATCTCCTCATACACAGCGTGGAGCGGCGTCATCTCAAAGTCCAGGATGTTAGTGGACACCTGAGCCAGGTTGGCTTCCTCCAGGTACCAGCCCATCCCCTGCACCTGCTTCAGGAGTCCTGGCTGCTCAGAGCGAGACAGGAAGTCAGACAAAGGTGCTGCTAGACCTTCATACCTGCGTTCAACAGGTAGAGACCCGACCAGGTCAGCAGAAGCTTGATGTGCTGATTGGTTCAGGATTAGATTCATTCATTCATTCATTCATTCATTCATTCATTCATTCATTCATTCATTCATCTCATCTTCATTCATGATTCAGCCATTAGCATGTAGCTCACCACCAGCAGTGCGTGGATGTGTGAATAAAGGGTGAAAAAGCGGAGCTCCCAGTAATGAATTATCATGAATTAAGTCTTAGCGTATCTGATTTCCAGATGAACATTTATTTCCCAGCATGCACCTGGTCCTTCCCTCGGCCCTGCTCCCGGATGTCCAAGGCAATACGATGAGCCTGTTCTTTGGTGCTGATCAGATTCACGTTGTACGCAATCAGGAACTTGCGAGCCCCGGTTACCGTGGCGCCCCATGATGGCACAAAGAGGGCGGGGCCAAAGTCTGGGGCCCAGTCCTCACGCTTCAGCTGCAGGGAAGGAGGAGAACAAAGATGGTGGATCTGTTAGTCTTGATGAAGTGAAATTCATTCCTGACTAAGTGAACTCTTGCATCATCCATGTCTTGTTCTGTGTGAATATTCACTAATATTAGCTTCTGTTCTGAAACCAGTTCCTTTGGTTTATGATGTGATGAAAGCTGAATGATAGATAAAATATTCCACTCTGATGTCCCTCCTCAGTATCTCCAACCCTCTAAGGTTTCCTGTCCTGCTAGTTTCAGAGGTCTCCTTACTGCCACCCACTGGACTGACTGACAGGCAGCATTAGCAGACATCAGGGAGATGCTTGGCGATCGTTTTTTACTCGAGCTTTGAGTGGTAACTAGGTGACTGTCAGAGAGTAAACCAACACTTATTGGCCTATTTTTCAGACTGATCCAATCAGCGCTCTGATCAATCAGTCGCCTGGAACGCTGGTTGATCAGAGCCTGGCTTTGGACAGATACGCTGCACAGGTTTTACCAGCAACCTCCTCCCCTCACCCCGCTCTCTATTGCTGTGTCTGCGCAATCGCAGTAGATCTAATCCAGGTGAGCAGGAACATGGTAAAACTGAATATTGCTTGATTGATCACAGACCTTCTCAGGTAAAGCTTCATACTCTCCAGACCGGACCGATGGCAGACTCCTCCTGGATTCTGATCGCGCTGCTTCTCCATAAAGATACACTGAGGATAAATTAAAAAATGTGCTTTTATTTTCCATCTCTTCCAACATTCCCCGGTTGATCAGATGTTCTGGTTCTTCTGGTTCGGCCTCTCACCAGGAACGTGCAGCATCTCTGCCAGTCTGCGTCCGAAGTCGTTGGCACAGTGGACGCAGTCGTCCATAGTGACGTTCTGGACTGGGATGAAAGGACAGACGTCCAGCGCCCCGGTCCGTGGATGCTCTCCTAAAGCAGAACCAGACCTTCATCAGCAGTTTGTCTTGAGGAGAGAACATTCGCTGTGGACTCACACTGACCTGAGTGTTTGCTCATGTCAATGAGGCTAAAGGCTCGCTGGGCGGCATTCAGCGCCCCCTCCACCACCGCCTCTGGGGAACCCACGAAGGTGTAGACAGTCCTGTTGGTGGAGGCCCCTGGGTCAACGTCCAGCAGGCTGCAGCCGGGGGTTTGAGAGATGGCTGCAGAGATGGCATCGATCACCTGGGGAAAGGTAGAGAAGCAGCCTGGTTTCAGAACTCAGATCACTTCAGATGTTTTTAGGACCTTCAGCCGAATCCAAACAAAGCTGATGGTTGATCAAAGTCTGTTAGGATGACGCAGGAGATGTTTAATGATTATTCTGACCACTTTAGGAGCTTTAACCCACTGCAGGTTCATTAAAGGGCTAAAAACCAGCATCTCCACAACGTTCGACTGGTTCCCAGTAATTTGGGTTTGACTGCCGGCTGGGGGCAGAATGGATGCAGTATAGTCTGATAAACATTAGGAGATGCTGGTCCTGGACCTCTGGCTAGATGTTTGGAGCTGAAGAACACAGAACATGGAGCTTCAAGAAGCTGCAGAGCTGCAGAGTCCTACCTGTTTGTCTCGACCCTCAGAGAAGTTCGGAACACACTCCACCAGCAGAGCCATGGTGTCTGCAGACTGCAGGGGGACGGTAGACTTCAGCCTCACCCCCCTTCCCACACATCCTCCGGGGGACAATCATTAACCACGGCAGCCACATGACTGGGGTTGCACAACTCTGAAGGCATGCTGGGGCCCCATCCATCCTCAGGGGGGGCCACAGAACACCCTATGAAGGCCCAACAGATTGAATCGGGTTCCTTTGGTGAAAAACCCAGAAATGAACTAAAACTCCTTCAGTCACTGAAATAGTTCAGGTTGAATCTTTAAAGATCTGAATAAAGCTTCAGCTCAGATGTTTCACCAGGAGATGGAAGGTTGGATGAAGCCAGAGGCTGATGAGAAGCTCCATGTTTATTAGATAGGGAGACAGAGAGGTCCAGAGTCTGACAGATAAACTCGTCTCTGTTGGAGTTAATAGTTTTTAATCAGTTAGAAAGTAGAAATAAACTGTGGAACATTTTCTAAACCTGCTTCTGGAAAACAGAAGATGAACTTCACAGCAGGACTGGGTCAGAACCCATAAAAACACAGAATGGAGAAGAACTAAGGTGTGTGTGTGTGTGTGGGGGGGGGGGGGTGTTTGTTTCACATTAATTGTCTAAATTAAAAAAATTGATCTCTCTTTACTTTAACTTTTTAATCCAAATTAAACATCAGTTTCTCCTCTGAGGTAAAACTTCCCTGAAGAAACATCTGAATGTTCTTTGAACCAGTAGAGGAGAAACAGTGACCCCTGCTGGTCGCATTATAGCTACAATCCTGGTTCTACTGATCAGGAGGTTACAGACTCCAGTGTCATAACGGGATACTTTAACTAGGACATGACAGCTGCCCTGAGCGTAAACCCCCAGGGCCGGAGATAAGAGGACACATGGTGGGACAAAGGAACCATCAGATCAAGAATCACTTTCCAACTGAAAACTGCAGCATCTTCATGGTGAAACCGGAACTGGGGAAATAAATAAACCTGAACCAGTGATGCTCAGACCTCCACACCCTCAGCTTCCTCCTCCAGTCAAATCCTAAAACTACAGGTTCAGAAATTCAGTCAATCACAGGCAGCATTTTAAAATATTTATTCCAGAAGTTTAATGGAGGGAAAAGGCAGAAGCCCCAACAGGAAACGTCTGAAAGGGAAATAGGATATTTGGTGTCTGGTCTGTTTGAGCAACAATATAAAACTAAAAACTAAATCCAGTAACCTTCAGGAGCTGGGATTGTAGATGTGCTGTTTGCTGTTCCTGGAGCTTGATCCTGGTCCCAATGAAGACTGACGTGATGATGTCACAGAATAAGGAGGGTTTATCTCCAAGCAGGAGAAAAAGTCCTTTCTTCAGGTGAAGGTGTTTCATGGTGAGACAAATAAAAGCAAACAAATCCAAAGGTCTGAGCTTACGATCCGTTAAAGAGGCCATAAGAATCTGAGCTTAAATGTCAGCTAAACCTATTTACACATTAACAGATAAAACCTTTAGATAAATCAAACCGCCACATATCTGACTTTATAACCATTAAAACAACTATTTTCATTCCTTTCAGATGGAACTATTTACACACTAGGATTCTATTAAACTGTAATTCTAATATTCACCACTGTATGGCACCATTTCCATTTTTCCTCTGATCATGGAGCAGCCGGCTCCCTTTGACTCACAATGAATCATGGGATACCTGAGGCTACGGAGGATACAGCGGACCTGTCCTTCAAAACGGGGGAAAAGAAGGCTGCATTGGTCGGCGGCATAACGAGCACTCTTCCAATCTGGATAGGCCTCAGCGCTGTACTATGATGTAATCAGCCGATGAATCTGGACTTCAGAGGATGCAGCCGCTGGATTTGAACAGAACAAGAGAGAGAGAGAGAATTGCAGGAGAGTGCGGGGAAACAGGGAAAACAACAGAAACAAATAACAAATAAAGACAAAGAGTAAGTAAACTAGAATAACTATGAAGAACTAATGGAAATAGAAACCAAGGAATCACAGGATAGCAACAATAAAAGATGTTGGATATCGTCTCTCCAACAGGACAACAGTTTGCATCATGTGAATCCACAACAAGGCTTTCTATAATCTGGTATCAACTGTCTGAGAAGCCACAGAACAGAAAAGCAGAAGTTTCCTGGATTTTGCCAGAGAGGCAGAGTGAACAAGTGAGAACAATGATCCAGATTGCCTCACAGGAAAAATGACAAAGCCTGCAGACATCTGTGACCGAAACACTCATTTTAGGCATCGGATGTTATGCCCCCTCTATGGAGCTACACGTTGCTAATTAATCATTTCATCACAATGTCCACGTCAATGGAAATGTTTCCAAAATCTACCAGACCCTAGAAGCACCCTGGGAACCATCAGAAACCAAGCAGTCTACTGCTTCCTAGCAGAGGACCAAAGCCTCTGACTCAAAGCTACCTATCTGTCTACGCTATTCACCCTTAGCAACACATGAAGCTAATCGTTTTCTGAGACCTTTTGGACAACTTCCTGCGCCAGTTTTATTCCATCTATCTGTAAGCAAAGAAAACCTTTGCAACGTTGTCCTTAGGCAGCCCGGGGAATCTTGGAAGCAGACCTGGAAACACGTTCCTGATTTCCCTGGAGAGCAATGCTTCATGCAGTCAGTGAACACATGAAGACATTTTTAAAGAAAAAACTGAGAGTAGAGCTGCTTTAGGTTTCTGGAGACAGGAGGAAGGTTCTCTGACTCTGAGCTTTGACTCTTCTCCCTTATCCCTGGTCCTAGACTGATCCCAGTCCACCCAGTCCAGGACTCCATGGTCTCAGCTCAGCTCTCATCGTAATGATGACCATCAAGACAGAAAATCCTGTCTGTTTCTGAATGGGATGATGATTAGAAGGTTCTGGTTCATCCGTCATCCTGACCTCAACACTGTCCAGGTGTTTGGTGTATGTAGATCATATTGTTGCTCAGAGCTGTAATGTTGCACATCGATCTACATCCCTTAAATCGGTAAAGAGGTTGCAGAGGTATGGGTCAGGTCCCAGATATGGATGATTTATTTTGTCCTCATAAATCACCGTTGAAACTTTTGCAGCACCTCAGATTCTTAATTGGTGACTCATTAAGAAGTGGTTGGAGAGAAGAGAAATGTGGTCATAACAGGGTGGGTTTCTAACAGCAAGCAACACCTTTGGTAGTAAAAATGTTAAGATAAACTGGTATAAAAAGAAAAATCTCTCAAATCCAAATAATGATGTTGCCTTTAGTGGCTTTAAAGGGGTTTTCCATGACCTTGAACCAGGAGAGGTCTGTTTTATGATCTCATTGGCTGCTCAGCTGGGTATTTATCACCAACACTTCCTCCTCTAACACTCACCTTAAACCTTCAGACAGCAGTGATTGTAAAAGACGCCATAAACAGTCAGAAGGCTTCTGATCTGCAACATGGAAGGCTGGTTCTGCATTGTTCTCATGTGGGGTAAGAAAACCTCCTCGCCTGTCTTGTTTCTGCTGCAGATGATCTGTTTCCATTAGCAGTCAGAGTCGTTGATTAACGAGCAAAATGACCGTTTAACTTTCAGTTAAACTTTCACTGTTCTCGCTCCCACTGTGTCCAGATGAGGAAATAAGCTTTGGGAAGCGGCTGAGAAGCAGCTGTAGGGGGATCAGGAAACTCTCACTAGAAGTTATCTCAGAACAAACAGTAAGGACTCATGTCCTCACCAAGGGTAGTGGGACCAAAGTATTCAACTATTCGCCCCAGTTAAATGGAGATCGATGACTTAACTCAGTCATGATGTTAGCAAAGATGTTTTCATATCTTTGCAAAGAGAGAACATGTCATCATAGAACCCGTATTGCTGTGTATTCAGCCTGTTCTGCCTGGGCAGAGTGGGCCCCCCCCTACCTACAGCAATGGAAACTAGTCAGAGACAAACCAAATCACAGTTTGGTTAAACAGTAACATGCTACGCATAAACCTTGAGAATCTGTTTTTTGTTTTTGGAGGAAGAAGGCGTGTCTTGTTTAATAACACTCTCACACAGTGGCCAGGCCACACAATGTTAATATGATAAATTAATATATGAAATAAGAGAAATCTAAATATTCCAAACACATCCAGTCCGTTCTTTAGAAGAATCCAGGAAAGTCTGGACTCTGGGAGAACTGGAGCACGCAGCATAAATCTGGGTCAATCGGAACAGAAGCGTACTGATGACATCACCACATTCAAAGCTCCTCCTGTTATCAATAGTCTCTACATAATAATAAATTATGACTTTATTATTTACTGGGGGAATAAAAATGAACACAGTCAGATAAACACAAATCAAATGAACATTTTGCTGAATAAAACAATCAAACCTTAATTAGAGCCAGCGGTCCTTCACACACGGCTATGCAGAGCCCTGGCTGCTGCAGACGGGCTAACGTTAGCCATGGATGCTGAAGGTGGGCTAACTATAGCCCTGGCTGCTGCAGCCCTGGCTGCTGGATGCTGCAGGTGGGCTAATGTTAGCCCTGGCTGCTGCAGGTGGGCTAACTATAGCCATGGCTGCTGCAGACGGGCTAACGTTAGCCCTGGCTGCTGCAGACGGGCTAACTATAGCCCTGGCTGCTGCAGCCCTGGCTGCTGGATGCTGCAGGTGGGCTAATGTTAGCCCTGGCTGCTGCAGTCCTGGCTGCTGGATGCTGCAGGTGGGCTAACGTTAGCCCTGGCTGCTGCAGACGGGCTAACTATAGCCATGGCTGCTGCAGACGGGCTAACTGTAGCCCTGGCTGCTGCAGCCCTGGCTGCTGGATGCTGCAGGTGGGCTAACGTTAGCCCTGGCTGCTGCAGACGGGCTAATGTTATCCCGTCTGCAGCGGCTGGGGCTGCCGTTACCCTCGGAACTCCCCAGTTTTGCCACAGTCTTCTCAACATGAGAACTTTTTTTAATTCCCCAGTAAATTAGTAAATGTTCCATATAGGGAAGCTTAAAGTATAATATCCTCGCCTCAAATTATCTTAAAACGTGCTTTTATTGAACAACAGGATCAGAAAAGAGAACTTTAAATTTAATATTCTGAGCTCTGTGAGCGCTAACCTGGAAGCTGCTGCTGCCGCAGTGCATGCTGGGATGGCTGTCAGTCTGGAGAACGGACAGGTCTGCTCTGATGCATGCTGGGTAAAGAGGGCGGGGCCAGAACAGCATCTGGGGACTTTGTCTGTTCTCGGTCTGCTGTTCTTGTGAATTGGAACAGTATGAGGGCTGAGGCTGATGACGTTTCACGAGGACACGATGACGCACAAGTACACAGATTGAGAAACAGCCCTTTAGATTATATCATGGATGCAGCGTCAACAGGTCAGGCCAATATGGGCCCACCTGCCTGAGGAATGTATCTAGCACCTATGGATCTATGAGCGAGCTCTCAGGGTAAATCAGAACAAAGCCAGTTATAGTAGGCTGCTGTTATCTTGTAAATTTATGAGATCAATAAAGTTAGATTGCTCCAGGAGCAACATTGTTGTTTCCAAGCAGCTGCTTCATATAATCAATAAAACAAACGGTTCTTGATAAATAGATTCAATTTCAGAGTGTTTAGCATCTTAGAAAGCGTTACAGTCTGCTGGGTTGTACTCAGTCAGTCCTCAGGTTGACTTACCTTAATCTGATGAATATGTGACACTGAAGCTGATGAATGTGCTTCTTTACAGCAATTCCTTTAGCTTCTTCTGTAACAAACGTCAACTCAGCATCTTCCACCACCACGGACTGTACGGCTCCTGCAGACCTTAATACCACTGCGGTTCGTCTCAACGCTCCTGTTCTGACTGAACCAACCTCTTCAGCGACTTCAGTCCTCCTTACTGACCCTCCTACTGCTGAGGAAAGCCAGAAACCAACTCTAGCAACACCAAGACCAACTACTGCCTGGTCTACATCTACTACCTTATCACCTGAGACAACTGCCTCCTCTGCTACAAACCAAGGCAACCCTTTCAACAATGATGCTACTACTGACTACCAGACTACTACAAGTCCGGATCATGTCACTAAAGAAGCTACAAATACAGACCCCCCACCCACCCCGGCACAAACTACACCTGAGGATTTCCCAGCATCAATTCCTCCAACCCCAGAAGCAACTTCTCCTTGGAAGACACCAACAACTGCTTCACCCAGTGAAACCATCCACACCACAGGCAGTCAGACCACTGGTTTACCTTCAGCATCAAGTCCAACTCCTGAACCATTGAGTCCTTGGCCAACATCTACTGCTGTGACAGTTCCTACATCTCAGGATCCTACATCTACTCCACCTACTCCACCTTTTACTGGGAACCCAGACAATGATCCCACAACCACACCCTTCAACCAGACCTCTGGGGTTACAGCCTTCCTGCCAACCACTGTCCACACTACCACCAATACTACTACTAGTCACACTACTACTACTACTACTAATAGTCACAGTACTAATACTGCTTGGCCCACATTCTCGTCTAATCCTCCTGCTACTAGTCCTATACCCGAGACTGATCCTCCAGATGTTGCTTCTACAACTGGGGTTACATCTAATGTTCCTCCTGCTTCTCCTAGTCCTACTACTCCCATTACTACTACTTCCTTTAATACTACTACTAGTAGTCATCTTAGTACAACTACTCCAGCTATTATTACTACCGTTACTACTATTACTTCTACTACTCCCATTATTATTAGTAGTATCAATACTGCTACTACCTCTACTACAAAAATTATGACTACTAGTCCTGAGACTGATGCAACAACTACAATAACTAATACTACTACTCTCTGGCCCACACCTCAGACGGATC